CTCTTCTCTTTGCACTAGTGCTTCGGCCTAGGTTGGACTTACTTTGATCCCCTGGCAATTAACAATGTGCCCCAAGAATTGTCCAGAGCAAACTCCGAACGAACATTTGGAGGGGTTAAGCCTCATGTCGTGCTTTCCCAGTGTGTCGAACACATCTTGGAAGTGTATAAGGTGATCTTCTTTCCTCTTACTTTTTACCACCAGTCATCGATGTACGCCTCCACAGTTTTGCCCATTTGGTCTTTAAAAACTTCGCTGACTAGTGTCACGCCCCGCCTATGGAGGTTACACCACGCAAGCGCTAAGTAGGACGTTGCATGGCAACTGCATGGCGAATGGAGCTTCTAGAGTCTTCCGGAGCTGTCTAGAGTTGTGTGGAAGATTCTAGATATGTGTAGAAATATGTAGTATATTCTAGAGTTCTCCAGAATTGTGTGGAGTAATATGGAGAGTTCTAGAATGTTGTAAATATATATAGAAGTGTGAAGAAGGTGGGAGAAGATTCTAGAGAATCGATCTCCACCATCGGTTAGAATGCATCCTAGCAGTCCATTAGGGTTGGGGATGTCTATAAATAGGAGTGGGACTTCGTTTTGTAGACATCAAGTCCTAGAGTGAGTCTTGAGAGCCTTGTAGAGAGTTTGAGAGCTAACCTTGTACAAAGCATTCTTTGAAGTAATAGAAGTGTTCTTTCCTTGCCAACTTTAGTGCCTTAGTGTGTGTGAGTGTGCAAGCCAAGTGAGGAGAGGGTGAGGACTACAACACTAGTAAGCGCACATGGGGAGTGTGTTGGCTAAGGTGGGCACGGGAGTTAGACTGACCAAGTACTTGCGAGAGTAAAAGCAACGTCTTGGTGCTGCACGGGAGTAGCTAGAGTGGTGCTGAAACTCTAAGCCCGTGACACTAGACTCTGGTACGTGGCTCCTATATTCTTCAATCCGAACGGCATCACCTTGTAGCAATAGATCCCTCGTTCTGTCACAAAAGATGACTTTTCCTCATTTTTTGGATGCATAGGGATCTGATTATAACCTAAATATGCATCTAGGAAGGTCAGGCGTTCATACCTAGTGGTTGCGTCTACCATCTGATCGATCTTTGGTAGGGGGAAACTGTCTTTGGGACAAGCCTTGTTTAAGTTTGTGAAATCAATGCAGACTCTCCATTTTCCATTCTTTTTTTGGACAACCACCGTGTTGGACAACCAGGAGGGTACTGCACTTCTCTGATGAATCTTGCTTCCAGTAGTCTGTCCACCTCTTCCGCTATGATCTGATTTCGCTCTGGCGCAAACCTCCTCTGTTTCTGTTGAACAGGTCTGACATGTGGATCAACGTTCAGGCAATGGCACAAAAGGGATGGGCTGACTCCCGGTATATCTAAGTGACTCCAAGCGAATACATCTAAGTTTCTGGTTAGGGTTTCAATCAGCGGCTACTTTTCCTCAGTGGTTTGCATTGACCCTATCTTCATGGTTCACCCAGGTGTCAGGGGGTCGATCTGCACCTCCTCTAATGGTTCCATCGTGAGGACTGACTCCTCCATCCCGGTCTTGGCTTTTCCGGGCAAAGGGCTTTGTAATTGTTATTTTGGGCCCGTAAGATGGGCGATCGCCTTGCTTTTTCCACTGGCCTTAAGCGTCACCAGATAGCATTCCTTTGCTACTACTTGGTTACTATGGATGTCAATCACCTAGCTCCCATCTGGGTTCAAGCACCTCATGACCTGGTGTAAGGCGGATGGGACACCTTAGACTCGGTGGATCCACCCCCTCCCCATCAGGAGGTTATAAGAAGGATAAACGTCCTCTATGACAAAATTCTCCTTCAAGTTCGGCACACACTGGCAGCTCAACTACTCCAATGGGTTCTATTCGCTTTCCGTCAAAACCAACCACTCAACTAGGGGGTTCCCTGTGGGCCTGACTTGCTTTGGGTACACCATCAATTATTCAAGCGCCACCTTCGTTATAATGTTGGCGCTGCTGCCTGGGTCACTAAAACTCTCTTGATCAAGTAGTTTGGCACCATCAAGGTAATCACCAACGGGCATTCATGCGGAGTTTGAACCCTGAAAAGGTCAGTCTTGTCAAATCTTATTAAGGCCATATCGCCCTCCTAGCGGACTGTGTTAACGCTACCTAGCCTTCTTATCTTGTGGGCCTGCCGAAGGCGTGTCTACCGTAATTCTTCTGATTCATCCTCAACCTCTGGTCGGCCATATATGGCATTTATGACCCGGACTGGCTGACCCTCTTGAGGGTTCAACCTCGAATTTCTCCTTATCTGATCAACAGTACAATTTTACTCCTTGGCCTGGACATAGTTGGCCAACTCACCTTTCGCAATCAGTGTCTCAACCTGTCTTCTCAGGTTCCTGCACTTATTTGTTTGGTGCCCAAAATCACTGTAGAACGCGCAGTACTTTAACTGATCTCACTGCTCGAGCGGCTGTCTGCGTTCAGAACATCACTTTATTTTCTTGGCACAGCCATGCCAAAGTGACTCTGAGGGGGGTGATCATCTCGTCTTCTCGCTGCCTCTTCTCAGTCTTCCAAGGAACCACTTGTGATTGTGCTATTGGAGACCTCTAAGTGGTCATTATGGCTTTTGACCTGTTCTCCACCGTGACCATCGTTGTCTTCTTTGTATTTACAGCTTCATCCTCCTCTAGCTATACATAGCCTTGCGCCCTTGAATTGAGTTCATCCATGGTTTTAGTGACATCACCACCAAGGATGTGTGAAATTGAGAGCATAGCCAGTTTGAACACTTGCTCCGCTGAGGATGGATGGCAATCTATTACCATCCTCTTCTCCAAATTGAATCTTGTGAGGAAAGTCTGGAGGCACTCATCTTCCTATTGTCGAATAGTGAACAAACATGATATGTCCTTTTTCTATTTGCCCGTTGCCAAAGTACTGACCTATGAACAGATCGCAAAGCGCTCGGGAACTTCTCACCAATCCCTTCGGCAGATGCTTGAACCAGTTGAGCATGGGTCCTGTAAGGCTCGTGGGGAAGACCTTGCACATTAGGGCATCATCTTCGGTGTCCATGGCCATTTTCAGTTGGATTTGGTATACATGTTCGGTTGGATCTTTGGTTCCATCAAACATAGTGAACATTAGCATTAAGAACTTTCTTGGTTTTGGGGATCAGAGTATCTCTTCCGTGAAGGGAGAATCGACCATCCGAGACGACGTCCGAACAACGTCTTTTAATGGGGGCGCTTTTAGATCGCCTTGCTGCTTCCCGGTGACCTTCTTATCGTGAGTGCTCACATCTGACTGGTGCAATTCGTCGAACATCTTGTCGGCAGTTGATTCTCTCTGCCATGAAAGGATAACCTCGGCATGTTCTCGTCTTCCGGTCCAAGCCTTCTGTGTTGCAGGTTTATATAGATGGATCCTTCTCTTTCTGCCCTCCAGTTGATATATAATGCCCCCACCCTCTCATCCTCCGTCGGCGGACGGGGGGGTGGTTACACTTCCCTTCGCTCCATCCTGGATCTGAGCTTGGCGTTCTCTCGTCGTAGAGTTTTGATGATTTGCATCAAGTCATCATGTCTGACTCGTTCATTCTCGCCGTATTGACGGGAGCCTTCCTCTCCGATCATGGTTCCCGACCAGAGTTGTGTCATTGTTTTGGTGCTGAAATCAATGTATCGTTCCCACAAACGGCGCCAGATGAAGATGCAAGAAAATGTACTTCTCTATTATGGAAAGATTTTCCCACACTCCAAACAACATGCCTCTCCTTCTCTCTCTAACTTCTATTTATAGAAGTTTACATTTTGCCTTATTCCTCTTTTTTGGTCCCCAACTGTATGCAGTTAGGTCAAGACATTGCCAGGCAACATCCTTAGCTGAGTGAATTGGATTGATTTTGGCCTAATGAAGCTACTAGACCTTTCAATTGGGTTCGGGACAGTCTTTGCTAGGCCACTTTGAGGCCCAGGACCTCTTCGATCTTGCTGACTCGACCCAAGGCAAATCTGGCCCTTTCACTATCTAACTTCATCAAATAAGTCAACAAAGATGACATACCCACCTTCTTACCACTTATTTTTTAGGGCTAAAATCATAAAACCCCCATTTTGTTTCCAAAAACGTCATATAACCCCCTCAATTATCAAACAACCCCCTAAACTAGCAAAAATAATCATGTTGCCCCCTTTCCATGACGGAACAGTTCAGTTGTTGTGAAATGACAATAACGCCCTTGATAATATATTAATACTGCCTCCGTCCCAAAATTCTTGCCCATCTTTCCATTTTGGGATGTCCCAAAAAACATGTCCCATTCTAAAAAAAAAAATTTTGATAAGTATGTCCCATTCCAAAATTAAATGTACTATTTTTTATAACATCCCCAAACTATCCTTTTAACTAAACAATTGCACTAATTACGGAGCACTATTTTGTCTTTTAGTAAGGGCATATTTAAAACTTCACTCTTATCAATATAATAAAAAACTATTAAAACTCCACTACCATAAAAAGTTGGATTCCCTATGCAAGACATGTATTTTGGGACAAAGGGAGTATTTTATTAAACTAAAATTATAATGTGAGAATGGCAATTTCGTCATTACGAATTACAAGGTTATTTTGGTCAAAATTGTTGCACGTGATTGTCACGTGATACGATCCCATTAGTTTTAGATGGGAAACTAACGGAGAGGGGGTTATATGATAGACTTCTTAAAACATCAAGGGGTAATATGATAGTTTCTTTAGTTGAGGGAGTTAATTGATAGTTTTTGGAAATAAGAGGGGGGTTTTATGATTTTAGCCCTATTTTTTATAAGAACATCCAATCATTTAGTCAATAAAATTGTGCATTGGAAGGGTTTAACACAGGAAGCAGGGTGAGGAAGAGAGGAAAGAAAAATAGCAAGTTCAATGTTTTCTCCAGATTCAATTTCCAATAACTGCCACAAAAATGGTTTAAAGTTGATATAATCCCAACGCACATTCATTGTTTAATAAGTCTTACCATACTTCCAATGATAGCATCCCCTGCAAGTGTTGCCTTCAGCAAATCCATCTGTATTACCAAAATTGGTGGGAAGCATCATTTAGATGACAACTTCAGAAATTCTAAGTGTTCAAACTACATGTATAAAACTGCACTAATATACCACAAAGGGCATGAAGCAAATGACAGCATAAAAAATAAAAACCAGAATTATTTGATCTGTTGAGAGCTCTCATAGCAGATTTTCAGTACAATGCTGAATATCAATGAGAAACGACAAATATGCTTGGCCATGTGCATGAAACATCAATTTAGGTAAGAAAGAATGACATGGTCCACTTTGAGGGTAATGATAAGAGAAAGGGATAACTTGAGTTGAAACAGTAATGAAATAGATAGTCTTGTTTAACTGAAATCATGACTTTAAACAGAGCATAATCATAGAATAAGATTCATGTAGCCATCCCCAAATAGTTGGTACCATGGTTGTCAGATGCAGATGTGGTGTATCGGACGCGGTGCCATATTGGGCATAACAGAATAAAATCAGGTGTCGCAGTCATCAATTCTTTTAACCTTGCAAATAGGGCACAAAATGCACTGATACACGATTTTTTACTACAAACTTTAACATATTGATGAACTACAATTGGTACTTGAATCCTTAGCCTCATTTCTGAGAGGTGGAGGAGATACCAGTCAAGCTAGTACTGGTGATAGAAGTCAAAAAATTTTGTAAATTATATCAAATTTATATTATATGTTTTGTAATAACGAATTTCAAATAAATTGTTGCAAGCAACATATGCATATGGAAGTAATTTACTAATTTGAAATATGCATATGGAAGCAACATATGCATATTAAAGTTTAATAATTTGAAATAGAATCAAACATTATGTTTTCTGGACATACAAAATTTTAATAGGACAGTCTACTAGAACATTTGTCTACTTTAAATCATCAAAAGAGAACGAAATGAAGTAAAATCCTGGGAGCAAGATTTGATAAGCAATGCCACACCATCATTTAACATCAAAAACATAACAAACAAAACATGACCACATAATTAAGAAGCATGATGACCTCAAACCAGTTATTCAAAACCTTTGATGTTGGGGACAATAGAAGGTCCATTAAATCCCTGCCAAAGCAAAGTAAAATGCATCATCAAAAGCTATGTTAGTAAACAACTAATCCGTGTGTGCGTGCTTGTGTCAGTGTGTGTGTTTCCCCATTCAAGCTGATTTGAAATTTTTATGGCAATCACAAAAAATGGACCTTGTATGATTGTCAAAGCAAAAAACTTCCACTTACACCATATCTTTCTGCCCCAAGGAGAGAACCTGCCGCAGGAACCGACTCCAAAAGACTGATTTTTTCAACTTATCCCTCAACCGATCCTTAAAAGATGAAACCTCATAGAGTGTTTCAGGAGGAGGTGAACCCAAAAGAAAGTCCATCAACTTACAAAATTTATGCAGCTGATCTTCATATCTATACCACAATACATACAAGACTAAATGAGTGTTCTCTATAACAAACTCTGAGGAATAGTACTTTAATTATAGTGACATTGAACTATCATTTGGAGTGAATTGAGACAATTGAACCTTGGATAAGCATTTGCATCACGCTTCGAAAACTTCAAAATTTCTGAATAATTCTGCTCTGGATTTGACCTCAAAAGAAGAAAACGCCCATCAAGACAGGGTGTGAAGGATGAAACCTTAGGCTTCAACAACTTCATTCCATGTCTCACTAACTCTAATTCCCTTTATAATACCAAATAAACTTCGTTTACAGTTTATCAGGAAGCTCAATTGGAAATGTAATGCACATTATATACAATTATAAATAAATAAATACATATATATGTGTGTAGATATATATATATGTACAGTTTATAAGGAATTGAAGCTCAATTGGAAATGTAATGCTCAATATATACATATGTGTATGTGTGCATATATAGATAGAGTACGGAGAATGTGGAGTCCGAACCTGATGATGGAGGGGCGGAGGAGGCTCTGGACGTAGCTGCAGCGGGAGAACTTGAAGCCGGGGACGAGTTCTTCGGTGACAGCGGCGCCACCGATGATATGGCGGCGTTCCAGGACGGCGACGGAGAGGCCGGCCCGAGCAAGGTAAGCAGCAGCGGTGAGGCCGTTATGGCCACCGCCTACCACCAGCGCGTCCCATTTCTTCTCCGTCAACGCGCGCGTGGGCCCTGCTATGCTATTAAACCTCCTTCGCCACATTCCTTTCACTCTCTCTCACTCTCTCTCTCTCAATTCGGAGTTCTGCTTCAAATCGAATCAATTATTTGTGGAGCCCACGTATGTCAGACTCTGTGACTTGTGTTTTTTTTCCTCTTGGTCGAGTTTTCTGTTTGTTCGTTTAATGTTTTCAATTCAACTCGGTGGGTTTTAGATTTTTGTTTTTTCCTGTTGATGTTTTTTTCTTCCCGATAACAATATCCATGCTCATATTAACATATTATAAATTTAAAAAAAAAATTAACTTCGGATTAGTTTTAGATCATTTAACAATCCAATCAAATCAAATCTGATGACCGTAACTCTTAGGTGTGTTTGGTAAGGTTAATTCGGAGGGACAGGGAGAGAAAAGAAAAAAGAGGATAATGTAAATTTGTGTTTGGGTAAGTTAAGTAGAGGGATAAGGAGATATACGGAGAGATAGTTATCCCTCCTTATCTCTTATTTGTTTTCTCTTTAATTTTAAAAAAATAGAGAGAGATAGGGAGAGAAAGCAAAGTGATTTTAGTGGTATTTTGATAGTACCAAAATTAACCTCCACAAATCAATATATAGATTTATTATTCCATTCAAGTCCCATGGTTATAAAAGGGTAAAAAAGTAATTTGTCTACTATCTTTCTTTTCTTTTCTCTCCTCTATCTTATCCAAATAAGAATAACTATCATTTCTTTTCTTTCTCCCCTATCTATCCAAACACAAATAGAAATTATTACTATCCTTTCTTTTCTTTTCTCTTCTTTTTCTTACTAACACCCTAAGGGTCCGTTTTAGCCTGATTTTAACAATCATATTTTGAGTAGAAATCGAACTGTATCTGATAATAAAAATTTGTTTTGGAAAAATTGAAACAAAAAATATGAAACATTTTTGGTAAAGTCGTGCGTTCAAGAAATCCAAAAACAAAACAAGTTTAGAAAATTCTTTTTCCTGTTAAAATTTCTGAATCAATAACTTGACACCTGTTTGGTAAAAATTGTGCTGTTTTTGTTTTGAAAAATTAAATATCTATTAGTACAATTATAAGTTTATATCTAATAGTCCATTTTTATATGATTTGAGATGATTTGTAAAAAATAAAAATAAAAATAGAATTCTCCATTAAGACTTAGAGAATAAAATTACAAAAAAAATTTCCATTTACACCTGAAATAAAATAACATATATAAGATCACATGGAATAAATATGGAGTAACTTGTATTTCACTTGTGTCATTGAAAATATACTATAGTGATATAATTTTTAATTTATATCAAATGGTCATGATTCTAGAAATTTAGAAGAAAAAAATATTGCATGTCTTGTGATAATTTGTGTTTTTGAAATTACATATATATACATGATGATGATGACAACGACGACGATGAGCATACATGGTTAAATTGATAAAGTTGCAAAGCATATATATGTTGATTTCATTAATGCATGATTTCATTCATGGCATAGGCGTGGTAAGGGAATTGGGGTGAAATTATTTTATAAATTGTGTTAGAAGGTTTTGTGGAAATAAATAGTATTTTAATATTTTCAAAAGGAAAACGTTTTGTGAAAGAAATGATTTTCGTGAAAGGAAACGTGTGATACCCCCAGATTCCCGAATGCGGGTTGGCCAGGCCCACGCCCAAATACCCGAGGATATCAAAACAAATTGATAATAAACGAACACAGAGTACAAAAGAATAAAGAAGAATAAATAAAATGCTGACAAGAAACTAAAGTGATAATCTAATAATAAACCTCATAATATATTTCCATTAATTAATAAACTCTTCTGATACAACTGATCCTCCAAAATACAACTCGGGAATCCATACTGTGTGGACCCCTAGAAAATCCAAACTAAACAAATGGCAACAATAACTGTCTAAATCAGGAAACTGAATCATAAAGGAACTTCTATGTAGCATCGGAAGAATGAAGTAGACTGATCCCCGCTCAGCACGAACAACCTCTACTCCTGACGAACACCTGAAAAATAATGGTAGGTCAGGCCCACAAACAAGTTCTACTCTACTACAGTCCAAGCAGAGATCCGATACACGTATACATCCTAGTCAATCCAACAGTAACTAGTAGTCCGTATATATATATATACACACACTAAAGGAACCTCACTAGACTATAGGGTTGTCTCAACCTGAATAGTAGGAAACATGCAAAACGCACATATAGTGGGCATGAGTACCTAGACCTACCAGGGTACACAACTACACTATATCTAGCTACACATCCCTGGCGATATACGCACCCTAACCACTGATCCTGAGACTCAAGCTCATATCATGGCACCATACTTATATATATAAAATCTAGTAACCATCCTATCCAGTATAAATTAATCCTCCATAAGTCATTCAACTTGTTCAGCTGACCTGACTTGAATAGAAGTAGCACTTCACATTTTAGTTAATCCATTCCCTTATATAATAAATTAATCATCTATAAGTCATTCAACTTGTTCAGCTGACCTGACTTGAATATAAGTAGGACTTAACATTTTAGTTAATCAATTCCCTTATATAATAAATTAATCCTCCATAAGTCATTCAACTTGTTCAGCTGACCTGACTTGAATATAAATAGAACTTAACATTTTAGTTAATCCATTCCCTTATATAAAATAGGTAGGACTTAACTGATAAGTTAATCCGTCCCTAGAATGCCACCGTCCCATACCGGTGCATTAAACCACACAATCCAACAATTGATGTAATAATTAAAGAAATACATCAAACATTCCAGAAATAACTATGATAATATGATATCAAGTTATCACATAATATGAATGACTTATTATTTATTTAAGCTTCCTATATCATATGTCCTACACAAACTGAATCTTATACATGATGATATTTTATTATATCGTCAAATAAGCATTCTCCATATCCAATTCATTCTACACATTTAATCTCAATTGCTAAAGCATTTTAAAAGATTAAATCCATTCGTTTGTTTAAACATTCAAATAGCAAGCATCGTTATGATTGAGTGTATTTAAATTTATTTAAACCCAAACATAGTCCCTATTTAATGTTCAGGAATCCTAGGCATGTTTCTACGTTCCATCATTCCACAGATATGAAAAATACATAATTCAAACATGTAAAAATTCACACCAGAAATCAAATCAAAATCATGCATTTTTTAATTCATAACACAAGACAGATATGAACCAATTTCATAAAAACCTATGCTTTAATCCAATTAAACATGCATAATTATTTAATTTTATGTGTTTAATAAATCCTGGAATTTCCTAGGCATGTACAGAAACACGAATCAAAGGGAAAGAGATAGAAAAAGAACTTGTCTTAAACTTTCGGATCAAAAGTTAAACTTTTTCTTCCTTGATCTTCTCTCTACAGGGTTTTTTTCCTCCTTCCTTCATTTTCCTCCTTCCCTCTCTAACTCTCTCTCTCTCTCTAGAATATATCACGTGAATATTTCTAACCCCCTTTTACAACCTATAGCTATATATATATAGGTTAAATAAAATAACCCTAACCCTTTTCCCAATTCAAGTCAACTTAAAAATATATATATATTAAAATATTAAAAAGATAAGTAAAATATGTTACGTATATAATTTATGTATATCTTTATTAAATAAATAAATTATACACATTCCATTATTTTTTTAATGGATTATCCAATAATACTTAAGTTACCATAATATTATAAAGTAACTTAAAACATAACACGTATCAAATCTATGTATATTTTTATTATTTAAATATAAAACATATACATAAGATTAAATATTACTACCCAAGTTACCATAAAAGTAATTAATAAATTACTTTCCCTTTTATATATATTAAAAAGGTAAGTAAAATATGTTACGTATATAATTTATGTATATGTTTTTTAAATAAATAAATTATACACATTCCATTATTTATTAATGGATTATCCAATAATACTTTAGTTACCATAATATTATAAAGTAACTTAAAACATAACACGTATCAAATCTATGTATATTTTTATTATTTAAATATAAAACATATACATCAGATTAAATATTACTACCCAAGTTACCATAAAAGTAATTAATAAATTACTTTCCTTTTTATATATGTATATAATATATATCTATATTGAAGATACAAGAAATTCCTTCCCCCTTTCTCTCTCTAGAATTTCTGTATTTCAACCAAAAAAATATCTCCCCTTTCTTTCCATTACTTCTCCTATTTATAGATATTTACAAATGTTAATGGACTGCTGGATCTAGGCCCGTTCCTCCATGAGTCCTGGTCATCTTTGATGGGCTTATGCGCGTTTGGCCTATATGGCAGTGTCTTTCTATGGGCCTGACCCATCTGTACGGACTGAATGTCGCGTTTGCAAGTCATATCCGGCCCATGTCATCTCGGGCCTCCTCAACTGCCCCCATAATTACCCCTTGTTTAATAAGGGGGTAATTATTGAAGGCGTCTCATCATGACGTTGACGGCTCGAGAAACCCACATGGGGGAACGGACGGTCAGATCCAGAATTAATGTTCCGGGGCTCGATGAATTTCTCGTCTTCCTGACGCTTCGGCCCTCGGGTCCCCCTCGCCTTTATAAGGCTCTAGAATACCACTTTATGCCTTTTTACCGTCTCCATCATCAGTCAAATCTCTCTCCTTTTAGAACAGTGCTAAGCTTTTTCCGGTGAAATCCTTCAAGAGTCATTCTTCCAGCGGTCTTGCAGTGCTCTTTGTTGCTTTCTACCTCAGAGGTTAGTTTTGTTCCTTTTTACTTTCGGCAGGCTTCTTTTTACCCTTTTAGATCCTTCAAACACTTCCACCATGGTTGTAGATCTAGATGTTCTTCGTATGAGACTTAGACTTCCTGACAACATCCAAGTTAGGGTTTGCCCTAAGGATGTTAATATTATGACCGGTGCCGGCCTCTTTCCCGGCGAAGTTTTATTTTCAAACCTTCAACTGAATGTCATTAGGTTCCCTCTGCACCCCTTCTTTAATTATGTCTTCAATAGACTGGGGATATCCCCCCTGCAGGTAAACCCCAATTTCTTTAGAATCATATCCGTTATGCTACTGTTGATTCGTGACAGAAGTCTGGACCTTGACCTCATAGATCTTCTTCTGTGTTATAAGGTCAG